GTGCCCTGACCAGGAATCGAACCACTGATCGCCTGGATCCTAGGTCGACGCTCAACCGCTGAGCCACGCCCGGCCAGGCGACCCTTTTTTCCTTTGCAGTGTGTTTGGGGTGTCAGTTCTCTCTGGAACAGATATAATTTAGCCCTGCCTGTACCCCAGGAGGATGCTGGAATGGTGGAATTTCAGGCAGATATATCTGGCCAAGCATGAAAGTTTCCTCCTCTTCATCTCCTGGGCTGGGCTGTGAGAACCAGGCGGGTGTCCCTGGTCCCTCGGTGGAGCTGCACACTCTAGGAGGGCAAAATTAGGATCTCTGACCCACCAGGAGCTCCCGTGATCAAGGGGAGGCTGGCTGGGGCCAGCCCGGGCAGACCCAGGGTGGGGGAGTCTCATGGTGGGTGTGCCTCCTGTGAGAGCCATGGAGTCTGCTGGGACACAGCTCAGGAGAGAAACATCTGGTCTCCCTACCCAAGGATAGGGGCACACAGGAGGCTGCGGACTGGCCAGCTCCTGTGAAAGCTCTTGTTGCTATTGGCAGTGAGACAGGGAAGTTGGGATAAAAGTGAGAATGCACAGGGAACGCTCCTGTCTCTGGGACACCTTGGCCCTGGACTGAGTCCCACGGGCCAGCCTCTCCCCACCCCGGCTTCTGCAGGAACTGCCTTCAGCTACCCAGGCTGCACCTGCGGCCGCTGTGCTCAGGGAGGAGCTTCTTAAACTGTGTTGCTGACAGTTTCCTACCACAGTTTCCTGCCCAGAGACAAGATTCACTACCCCCACCCTTCAAGATTCACTACTACCACCCTTCTCACCGTCCCCGGACAGGCCCCCGCCTTGCTGCCTCGTCCTGTGCCCTTTATGGGGAGCAGCTCTATGAGTCTGTGAGGCAGGGCTGGTTGAATTGGGGAAGTGGAGAGGAGTGGGGAGGGTGGGTCCAGTGGAGGGCACTGCATGGATAAAAGTTCGGAAGTGAATTTGAACGAAAGCTAATAGCGCAGCCAGGCTGGATAGAGGAGTTTGGTTAGAGTCATTGAAGTAGGCAGAAGGGAGCCACAGTAGGTTCTTGAGCAAGGGAGGCCTTGGGAAGGAATTGCCTAGAAGCAACTTGCAGACCCCTGAGCTCAGTTCCTGTGGGAAACAGACTGTGGGGTTCAACCAACCACAGGCACCATGCGAGTTAGATATGGATCTCAGGTTTTATTAATAGAAATGGGTAGAGATCAAAGGAGGTGGTGGCAACACAAACCAACTTCAGGAGAGAGATCTGGACTGGGCAGGTGGGTGTGGCAGCATGTGTAGCCACAGACAGGACGGCCCAAGTAAAGGAACCAGGGTTGGGGAAGGGGAGAAAGGAGAAACGATCAGAGAGGGAGGGGGCAAGCCAGGGAGTCATCAACGACCCAAGAGAGTGATGATGGTCAAGCAGGAGGGGGGTCACTAGTGTCCCTCACTCAGGGGCCTGGTACCCAGGAGGGCACTCGGTGCTTGCCCGGCACCCTCCAGAGGTGCTCCCCGGAGCCTGGAGATCAGCTTGGGGTGGGCAGACTGAGGTTGGATGGGAGGGTAGGAGTCAAGAAGGGAGCAGGAATGTAGACAGCCCTCTGTTTCCTATTTTGGTTATTTTTAGTTCCTGGTATGTCTATACCTTCCAGCTCCTTTACTCCCCTTTAATTAAAAAATTAAGTTACAATTTACATACTGTAAAATCCACTCATGCTAGTGAAAAACTGTGAGATTTGCAGATGCATAGAGCTGAGAAGCTACCATCTCAACCCAGAAACTCCCTCATGCCCCTTTGTAGTCAGTCCCACCCCCGGCCCCAGCCTGGGGCAGCCGCTGGTGACCTGTGCCTGTATGTGAGGACACAAATACAGTCCCCGATTCATCGCCTGCAGGTAACCGTTGGGACACGTAGGAAGCCCCTCAAGCCCGGCCCTCCCAGCCCTGGTGTCAGAAGCAATCTGGTTAGAAAGTCGATTCTGGCCTCTCCCCTAGTTGCCCTGACCCAGGCCTCCCCTGAAATGACTCCGATTTCGGTAGGGCAGGTCATCAAATAACGGTGTTTTGCATGCAATGTTGTTTCATTATAATGTTGATGAGAGAGAAAAAAATTCGATTCTCAGCTGGGCTGCTGTGTGGGGTTGGTATGGTCTCCTCATGTCTGTGTGGGTTTTCTCCAGGGACTCTGGTTTCCTTCCACACCCCAAGATGAGCAATGAGAGGAATCAGCGTGTCTACACTGCCCCAGTCTGAGGGAGTGTGTGTGTGTGTGAGTGACCCTGAGATGAAAGGGTGTCCTGTTCAGGGTGGGTCCCACCTGGCACCCTGAGCTGCCATGATGGGCTCCGAGCACCATGACCCTGAACTGGCATCAGCAGGTTGGAAAATAACCCTCTTCTTTTTTATTCACCTCTCTTAAATAGCTCACATTTATTTCAATTTTTTAAATTTAATTTTTTATTTATTGGCTTTAGAGAGAGAGGAAGGGAGAGAGAGAGAAACATCGATTCGTTGTTCCACTTACTGATGCATTCGTTGGTTGTTTCTTGTATGTGTTCTGACAGGGATTGAACCTGCAACCTTGGTGAATTGGGACGATAGTCTAACCAACTGACCTACGGGGCCAGGGTAGATGTTTAATATTAGAAGAGTTTTGGGTCTTTATTTAGAAGTTTGGTGGTGTTTTTGTGACCAGAAATATGCTGTATGAACTTAATTCTTGTTTATATCAATTAGCCTCTGGTAAAATTGGGTCCTTATACATCGTTTCACTTATAAGGGCAGTTTCCACAAAACTATCGATGGCGTGAAGTGAGGACTGACTGTATCTTCCTCTCAGACCCAGTAGCCACCCTTCATGTCCCTGGACACCGGTGGAGAGGGCAGCCTTTCTCATCCACAAAAGCTTTCTTTGTGGCCCCTGCGTACATTTGCTTAACTAAGACAGGCACCCAGGGACCCTTTCCTGAACACAACCTATGCCTGGGTGGCCTTGCTGGGCCCACCTTAGTAGAGAAATGATCAGAAGCGGCAAGGGGAGATACTTTTTTGTCAACGTTATATAAAAACTCACAAATATACAGAAAAATGGGAAGAATTCATTGTATACCCATGAGCCACCCCTTAGATCCTACAATTCACATTTTGCTATATTTGTGTTGTCACATACAGTTGATCCCCGTTTTCATTGGACTCATTTGTTTGTAACCCCAAACTAGTACTTGAGGCACTTTCACAGTCATTCGAGAACATCCGCCAGAGCAGGAAGAAATGTGAGCCTGCTGACTTGCACCTGGCCGGCGGAGCAAGGTGGCCCTCCGCCTTCTGGTTTTCGTTTTCATACTGGAAGCAAGTGTCCTTACAGCCTACGTGGTGCCTCACTTTTGTGCTGTTTGTTGGTGATTTCACTGCTTACCTGGCACCCCAGTGCAGTGCTGAAGTGCTGCCTAGTGTTTCTAGGTGCAAGGAGGCTGTGAGGTTCCTTACAAAAACAGTACGTGTTAGATGCGCTTAAAAATATAGTGCTGTTGGCCGAGTTCAAATGAATGAGTCGATAGTATAAGGAGTCTTTGGACAGAAGTACACATATAAGAAGGTTATGTACTATTCAGTTAATGGAAATGTTGTGACTGAGCGAAGAACCTGAACCCTGGATTTCCTCTGGAACAACAGTTCAGTATCTGCCAATTCCATGTTTGCACTTACTACACAACTACTGTGAACAAGACTTGACTGTACCCATCTCCCAATCTATTCAGCCATCAGTCAATGCTATTTTTTGGATGGCTTTCAAAGTGAATTACAGTCATTAGTACCCACCTAAAATTTTCTGCTCACAGATCATTATCTAGGGTTCAATATTTTGTTTTGTTGTTTTTAACCTGAGGGTCCAATACAATGAAATGAACAAATCTTAAGTGTACATTCTCAGAGTTTTATGGCAGAGTACTGTGTAATCCAGTGCCCAGCATCATTACCCCAGAAAGTTGAAGGTAGATAATTTTAGGTTGTCTGCCTCACCAGATATCTATTTATCTAAATAGCCTTAATTCCTTCTCCCTATAAACGACCATACTTCCCAGTCACACACCTCATTTTAATGGCTCTATCAAAGCTCACATTGGAGTTACACCCTGATATATGTAACCAACCCCCTATTGATGGGTATTAAGATTAGCTTATGCTTTCTAGAAACTTGCCCATGAAGGCAGAGGGGGCAGAGCAAAGGGGAATTTGTAGCGCTGAGGGTGTGAGTGGAAAAGGGGAGGGGAAGGCTGATTAAGGTTCCTTTGATTAGCAAAGCTGGCTCCAGCCTCAGGGCCTTTGCACTGGCTGCTCCCTCTGCCTGCTGCCCTCTCCTGTGCTTTAGGAGAAGTTCGCTCCTCCTCCCCCTTCAGCTCTCCGCTCAAACCTACCTCTCAGAGAAGGTGGCCATTCCAGCAACAGGGGCCTCTTTCCCTCTTAATATCACTCTTTCCTTTGTACCACTGGGATCGACCTATAATTATTCTTCTGTCCTTTCCTTGTTTATTGCACCTCCCTCCCCCTCAGACTGTTATCTTCAGGAGGGCAGGGGCCATGTCTGTCTTTTCATCCGTGTCTCCCGCACCCGCCTGAAACACAGTGAGAATTCAACACATGTTTGGGAATGAATGAATGAATGGATGGATGAATGAATGAATGAACAAATGAATGAATGGTTCCAGGTGCTGGTGTGCGTAAGCCAGTGCGGGCGTCTGGGCTCTCCGCACAAGGTCTCTGAAAAGTCAGGGGCGGATTTGGGACTCCCTGATGGGGCTCCTCTCCAAGGTGATTTTGGAACAAAGCCGGCTCCACACGATGGGCACGGATGCCCCTCAATGTGATCTCCCTCCCACTGTACCCAGGCCCCTGGACGGAGCTCAGGACGCGAAGCTGAGGCCCTGACGAGCCCCGTATCCGCTTGACCCGCAGGGTCCGGCGAGGCGCAAGGGCGCGCGGTGTCCCGGGCAGCGGCGGCGATGCCGGACCCCGCGGCGCACCTGCCCTTCTTCTACGGCAGCATCTCGCGCGCCGAGGCCGAGGAGCACCTGAAGCTGGCGGGCATGGCCGACGGCCTCTTCCTGCTGCGCCAGTGCCTGCGCTCGCTGGGGGGCTACGTGCTCTCGCTGGTGCACAACGTGCGCTTCCACCACTTCTCCATCGAGCGCCAGCTCAACGGCACCTACGCCATCGCCGGCGGGACGGCGCACTGCGGCCCCGCCGAGCTCTGCGAGTTCTACTCGCGCGACGCCGAGGGGCTGCCCTGCAACCTGCGCAAACCGTGCAACCGGCCGTCGGGGCTCGAGCCGCAGCCCGGGGTCTTCGACTGCCTGCGCGACGCCATGGTGCGCGACTACGTGCGCCAGACGTGGAAGCTGGAGGTGAGAGCGGGGGCCCCGGGGACCCTGGGGGCCCAGGAAGCTAGGGGGACTGGGGGAGGGAGAGCGGTCCTCTTCGCAGCCTGCGGTTGGCTGCGCCGCGTGGGATTTGGAAGCTGGAGGGGTTGCGCCCTGGCTGGGGGCGGGCCTCCGAGGCAGGGGCCTAAACTCCCAGAAGGAAAGGTTGAGGTAGCTAGCTCTCCGCCTGCATGGGGCGAGGCTTGGGCTGGTCTGGGCGTAGGGTTTGAGAGGAGGGTGGGGGCCTCGCCCTGGGGTAGGGTAGTCAGTGGGGCGGTGGGCTGTGGGCTTAGATCCCCTGCTTTACATCGACGTGCTCGACTTGGAGCTGGCGGTGAGCTTGGGGCCGGCTGGAGGCGGGGCTTGGGGCTTGGGGCTT